TGTTGCACATGAAAAAAATAAAACATCCCCTGAAAATAAGCCCTAATGCGTTTTTTGGAGCAAAAAATAATATAAGACCCTCTCTTATTTTCAGGGAAACACGGTAGTAGTCTAACTTAATTTTAAAATATATTTTAATTCTGTTTCATTGTTGCTGGTGTGAATTTATCTAAAAGGGTGAACAAAGAGCATAGTTCTATCACCTAGAATCACTTAGCTCTAATTATATTTAAATCACAGACTCATTGATTGTGAACAAAGGACAGAAAATATTATTATTTTGTTTTTTATTGTTGTGGATGTCCACAATATTGGCTGTATAAAGCATTCATGAACTTTACAGTATTCTGTGCAATTTGCAATCATATTCAGCTAAGACATTTTAGCAACAGAATCAGTACTAGAATACAACACTAGAGGACAGTATGCCACCAGCTGTGGTTCATAAAGTGCTACATAGGTGTCCCTGGGATCCAAAGTATTTGGACCACCCAAGTTTTCTGATCTGCATCCTCTTATGGGGTTTTACTGTCACTGTTAAAGCACACTTTGGATAAGAATACCTTGTGAGTGAAGGTAATATCTGCATTTGTACTGAGGAGTTTTACTGAGGAACTGTTATGATTGATTAAGAATATTTAAGATCTTCCCCATCAGGGCAATTTTTGACAACTTAATGGGCCACCGAGGAAGGCATTTTTAATGGAGGATGCTCTATCTTTATGTTTAATTTTTTGACAAATGTTTTAATTCAGTGATTATTTTACTATTGTAACTCTTGCATAACCACACCTGGTTTTTTATCATTGATGTACACTGCCTGCAGTCTTTACATTGAGAGGAATAAATGAATTCATACTCCCCTTTATAAATAGCAGGGTAGTCTACAAAATACAACTAACAAGCCCATGCAGCATTGACAAGAAAGAATTCATGTGCATGGAAAAGGATTAGTGAGTGCAGTTGGTGGGAGAGACAGGAATTCTAAGAAACAGAAATAACATTTATAAGTGTTTCTGTTTGGGTAAAGAATTCTAGAGTTATTTTCTCACTGGCTGGAATCTAACTGAAAAATTACGCCAGTGTAATTCCATTGGATTTAAATCTCAGCTGCAAACTGCCGCAAGCATGTGCATTTCCTGTTGCATGTGGAGTCACATGATTAATGGGCAATAGCAAATGCCTGTTTCTTCTCTTGTGGTAATTCACAGTTGAGGTTTACATCAATGGAATTACACTGGTGTGTTTAGCTAATATGATTCTGGACATTATTTCATTAATTGAATTTTATTGGTAGTGTCTTGTCTTTTTTTAAAAAAACTCCTGTGATGCACTTAGATTTTATTGCTAATTATTGTATTTTTATTGTTTCAATTTTGCTTTGTGTGTTAGCTTATATGTCATTAAAAAGAACATATTTTAGAAAGGTATCAAGAAGAAGGAAGGGGCAGTTTTGTAACAGTACAGTTTTAAAATAGTAGGGCTGTGAAAATACTTGCCTCACATGATGAATGCTATTGTCTATTTGACACATAAACAGATGTTAGGAAAGCAGTGTGGGAATGACATTTCTTTTCAAGTCAGGAAATTAATTTAATCTGAATTGATATTAAGAGTTGGCTCTTCTTAGGTTTCTTCCTGATTTCTTAATGGATTGTTATTAAACCTAGTAATAAACTCAATTGTTTTTATCCCCCCCTCCCCGTAAGCGTACTGTGTATTCATTGGAGCATAAAGTTTACTCCCTTCAGGACAATTTACATACAATAATTAAAAACATTTTCTTCAAAACCAGTAGATATATATCTCGCTCAACATTCACTTCTCAGGCTGTGACTACATTGACAAATACTTTCCTCTGCAAATACTACTCAACAGGGACTGAAATCTTGTCAATGCTGTGTAATCTGGACTTTTCTCACTAGTCTCAGTGGGACTTTGAAAATAAAATTTTGTCTTTGGAGCAGGAGGTATAAGCTTTGGGGAATAAAAAACAGGCAATGAATCATCAGTGTGGCAACATAGATTGAAGAGTGACAGAAGCCAGTCAAATGGGACTTTGATAATAGAAGTGTCTTTGGTTTTGGAAGGAAGAATAAATCCCTGGGAGCAACGGACAGTAAATTATCAGATCATCAGCGAGAGGAACTTAACAGAATAGACAGAGAACCTAAGAAAATCATGTCTGGAGTTATTAAAGAACTACGACGGTTTTTCTTTTTAGGAGAGACTGGCTCCGTGTTTGATGCTTACTTTGGACTCTCTTTTGGCTGGACTGTGTGGATTCTGAGAATATTGCTATAATATCTGGGCAAGGAGGGGGAGGACATACCTAGCGGGAATATTGCCAGACAAAGAATGGCTGGTTACCATGCAAATGACAATAATAACAGGATTTCAGCAGGTAAATGTGCACCCCAACCAGGTAGAAGACCTGATGAAAGGGAAACCATCAGAGGTTAAACAACAACTGAATGAAATTGTAACTCCAGAACAATTTTTATTGAGAGCGATGCCAGGTAACATAGATGGGATTAAGAGTTACCATGTGAGCTACCCAGCTATAATAGTCAGAAAAGGTGATGTTAACAATCAGACTACTGCCATGGATTTAATTTTATCTCCCCAAAACTGGAAGAAAATAGAGGCACAGAAATGAGAGAAGGGTACTGAGAAAATATGGGAAGTGCCAGAAATTGATATCTTTCCAGACAGGCTGAATGTACGTCCAAGGCAGAAGGAAAATGAAAGAGGGGATATATTTTATAAATGGTCTCGATTTCTTGATAGAGTTGGAATAACTTAGACTTAAACTAAAATATGAATATAAGCTGATATTTAGAGTATAATCAAATAGTATACAGATATATATAAAAAAGAATACAAAGTTGTTTTTTGTATTGAAAAATGAATAGCTCAGAGGCATGTATACTTAATATGAGGAGAGTGGATGATTGTATATTCTGTATTCTATCCTCAAAACCTTTTCCCCATCCCTTACACTCCCTTTTACCTTTTGTATTCCCTACCCTATTCCTTGTAGTTTAAAAATAAAACATTATTTTAAAAAAAGACAAATACTTTCGTCTGCAATTAGCACAGGTGAGTTTGAGGGTGTTGTTTTTTAATGATCACATGATACAAAGGCCAGGCCAGCCCTTTTTGCTTCCAAATCAGTTTTTTCCCCTGGGACTTCTGATTTTTTAAAGTCAGAACAAATCACAGTGTTTTCCCTGTATGATCTTTTGTTTCATTCTTTAAAAGGACATGCATGTTTGTATTACTCCGGGTGGTGTTATAATGATATATTAAACTAGGGCATGTTGTTTTGGGACAAGGGAAAACCCACCCCTATCAACTTTCTCTTTACTCACTCCAAAATATTCACATCCACAAAAGAGACTGTGAATCAAGCCACAGCAAAGCTAAATTATTCTGATGCAGCTTGCCAGTGTAGTCACACCCTTAGAGTAGGAAATTATCATTTAACAATTATTATAAGCACATTTATAATGATTTATCACCCAGCTGGTTCACATATGCTAAACCACAGTTTAACTAAAGTGTAGAGGCAGCGGGGAGTTGGCTGAAGCCTCTGGCTCTTCCCCCAAATTTATTTTCAGTGTCACAGGATATTAATATAGTCTTACATACAACTAGAAGAGGTAGCCATGTTAATCTATGCTATAATGTCAAGCAAAGTAATATTTAAAAAATAAATTTAAAAATGACAAAAACATTGTGGCACCTTAAAGACTGCTATATTTTAATGTGAGCTTTTGTGGACAAGTCCAGACAGAAGTCTGAAGAAGTGGACTTGTCCACAAACATTCACATTAAAATATAGCACTTAGTCTTTGAGGTGCCACAACATTTTTGTCTTTATTATTCTTTATTTACTTTTGTTTTGTTTTTGTCTGACATGCAAACTAGAGGTGGTTGAATAGAAAACCTTTTGATGGTTTAACAAGTCATCTTCTTGAGGGCAGATACAGTTAAAAACTGAATGACTTGCTTTAAACTATAATATCTGATTTGTGCAAAATGCTAAGTTAGGAGCTTATTCATTACTGTTTATTTCTTGACTTTATATACCACCTGTCTACCAAAGGCAGCCAACAATGATAGAATCAGTAAATATAAGCAACAGCATAAAACATGGAACAATCTGAAAGCACAATTAAATACTAATCTATAAAAGGAAAGTGGTACCTACCCAGGTGAAAACCCATTTTAATTGCCAAAAACATGCCTGGAATAACAAAGTCTTTGCTTTCTGAAAAAAATTGACAATATGAAGAGGGCCATCCTAGACTCCTTTAGCAGGAATTTTCATGGCTTTGGAGTGGAATTTTGTAAAAAAGGTGGAAGTCCTCCTCCCAGCCATGTGGAAAGAGGGAACAGATAAGCTCAAAACTTTGGCCATTCTCACTAGGTCTCACCCACACATCGCAAACTCTTTGATGTTAAATGTAGACCAGAACCTTAATTGTCACTTGGGCTCAGCTGGTTATAGGTGGCTTTGGTAACAAAAACCCTCTCACACCAGAATAAGCAAGCCACACACTAGGTGTGGAACCAGAGCTGAATACAAAGTCCCTGGTTATCACTTTCACTAATTCTCTACGTGACATATGTTATCACTGGGCCTACATTTTATATAGAGATGCTGCAGAATTTGCACTAGTAGCATATATACTAACATGAGGGAGCTTTAAATTCAAATAATTGCATAAAACAGAGTTTGAATGTATTAAAGTCTTTTGTCCAGAGAAATCCCCATTGTCCCATTCTAACTTCATTCTTGATTCTCCCAGTTTCTCCTTTGGCCAATGCAAGACACTCAGATAATACAAATGGCACCTTGGCAACAATTCCAAGCCAAAATCCACCCATGTTACCTACTGTGTGGAAATTTCTCCTTCCAAATACCTCACCTCAGTAAATTTACCATGAGTGGTCTGACATGCAAATAATAGAAAGAAAGTGTGTACGATTACCGAATCAGCCCATTGTCCTGGTAGTTCATTTTCACCAGCATAGGACATCCAGGTGTGGTTTCTGTATGCTGCAGGCGGTGTTGGGATGAAATAGCCTGTGAACCCAGGTCGGTTTGCTGCTGGGATGGCAAACACTGCTGGAACTGTACTTCCTATCAAGAAATAGGGAAGGCGATTAGAAATCAAAACACATTGCTCTAGAGATAGAGGAATATTCAAAGGACACCTGAGATGTTCCTACTAGAAGATGCCTCTTTACATTGGCAATAAACAGTCTTTACTGAATCGTATCACAAACTATTGTATCTGCATCTAATGCCTTGCTCCACTGTTGCTGGATGAGTCATCCACCAACAGAATATACCTGTTTGAAGAAAACAACTCAGCAATGGCACAGCTCTTGACGGTGGAGATACCAACACCATGATTACCCAACTATTGATCATACTTGTCTGCAGTGTGAATGAGTATCAGCTGTTAATCTATTATGTAAATTGAGCATAGACATAGAGCAGATGCAGGTTCTTAGATTTATGCTAGTGCAGAAAGTGAGTAAAAGAAACCAAGATGTTGCTAGTCAGCTTTATAGCAGTCTTGAGAATTTATGTAAGGTATTATGCATGCCACTAAAATGTAATATTGATCCTAGTGTTTAGAATGTGGCTTATCTTATACCGTTTATTACTGGGAACAAGCAGCATTTTTCCCAACTATATACTGATGAGAATGTTTTTATGAACTTGGACATCAAAGTCCTACTAAATAGTGAGCAATGTGCTTCTCGCAAGCAATGTAACCATCTGTTGCTACTCTGTAAATGGATTTGTGTGCATATGGTGCTCTGTACTTTCCTAAAGGGGAATGAAACTTATAAAGTGCTCCTTTATGAAACATTCTGCTTAGTCAACATGATATATGCACAATTATTGGACTATGGGAAAAAGAGGAAATAAATCTTAGACAGGTGTGACTAGTTCCTTCTACCATATGGATTGGTCTTCACATAAGTCATATAATGTTGAAATTAATATCATGTAATGCCAGCATCATTTTATATTAGTACATATCATTACATGACCTCAAACCCATTATTAATATTTTTTCTGACATTTTGTAGTATGGTTTCATGAATAGTTTACTGGTCCATTGGGGTGATCTTCTTTAGTGGGTGCCACATCGATCGATTCTTCAGTATCGCTGGAATCTTCTGAGAGCCACTTGTTAAATTGCTGGCAACACATTGCTGCTTTCAACTTGAAATATGTTGCCAAGTGTTAGTGGAAAAAATCCATTTCTCTTGTTCAGTGGAGCATTTCTCTTACATACTGCATGCATCAGCTATTAACGCATACATTGACTGAGTGCAGTAAGTATTTGGATTACATATTCTAATCCTTTTCATTCAGAATCTCAAATACAGAGCATTACATCTTAGATCTGGAAACATTATAGAGGTGGGTTTCAATTCTTTGTTAATATTCTCTCTTCTCAAACTGTTGACCTTTATTTGGGGCAGGGGAATCAACTGCAAATGCTATCAACATCTAACATCCCATTTTTTCCCCTGAGCCGAAAGACATCCATTTGACCAATCTTTTAACAGAATGTATGATGCTCCTTGTCTGGTTGTATGATTGCTAGGCTTAAAGCGAACTAGTCTTACAACCTGATTCTATGTGTGCTTATTAAAAAACAAAACAAACCAGAACAGGATGGACTTCCAATTATGTGTGCCAAGGATTGCAACTTTTTATGTTATTTTCTAAAAACATTTAAAAATTATACTAATTTTAAAAACTGATTGCATATGTGAGACTAGAAAGTTTGCCATTTTGTTATGTACAACATGTGTGGCATATTGGAAATCAGTTATAACTTCAAAGTATTGAAGAATTTGGATAAACTGCCATACATGTGAAGACTTTCTAAATTAAAGGAAGAACAACTGGGAGTTAGACACTAAGCAATTATAGACTGAATATCACCTGTACCTAAGAATCTTTATCAACACAGAACAAAACTTTCTTTCATTCATTCACATCATTCAGGAATAGTTTCTGATACCAAGATGGTACTTATAATAATTGCAGAACATGTGTGTCTCATGTCTCTCACTTCATTTGATCTCTACACAGGAATGTCCAAGATATACTACTCAACATGACAAGGAATATTAGTTAAAAACTGACAAGACTGTTTATTGGCACCAGTCGTAGGGAATGGTAGGCATTCCATCTCTTATTACAGCGACAAATGTATCTGGGTACTTGAAACAAAACACTTCACACACAAGGGATGTTAAACAGAAACCATATATTTTAATAAGACAAAAGTTCCATTTTTTTCCATTTCAGTTTACAAGACAGTTTCCAGCCTCCGTTGTCTACATTGGGCTTGTCAGAATTGCATAAACTTTGCTTATGGAGTTACATGAAATAAATGGTACCAAGCATACCAACCAAGCACCCTTTATTTACGGAGGGGGTTTAGAAATTAGCCACTTGTGTTCTTGGAGTCATGCTCCTCTAATGACATATGATCTCTCATGTGATACTTTAAACTCAGATTTTAAAAAGTTTTAGTATATTATACTCTCTCTGCTGATGAATACATCCCTGAATGGGAGTGGCATGGGGTGCATTTATTCTTATGGGACTCAACAACAATCTCAAAACATCATTTTTTAAAAAAGGCAATTAAAAAAACAGAGACATCATATAACAAACAGAGTCTCTTTAAGTCATAGGTTGAGATGACTGTAAATGCAACACAAATACTGTAGTTTAAACTGGGAAAATGTTTTTACTGCTTAAAGCCATTTCCAGGACCAATATTTATACCACGGCTGTATATTTACACTACACTTTACAATCACAGAGATGGCTTGTGACATTAAACCCAGGATAAAGGTAATTGCAGAGCTGCTATCCTTCTGGGAGAATGGGAAGTCTCTCTTGAGCAGCCACAATCAGCAATATTTTACTCCCAAAGCCAAAATGATAAAATATTAAATAAACTTAAATAAAAATAAGGTAACATTCCAAACTTCTTTCTTATATTATCTCCCATCCTTGCCTGCTAACAAATAATTTTAAAAGCAGGGATACCTAGAACCATGATCACATATTTTCCAGACATTCAACCATTTGAGCTTCAGCATAAGAACAATAGTGAATGTTCTGCCTACTATTAAGAAAGAACCACTGAGAATCAAGCCTTAAATGGAACAGAATCCACCAGCAGTGCACATGCTGTAATGTTAACCCTTGAAAGATTTATCTGCCTATAACTTTATTTTTCAAACGGGCTGTTTTTCTGCTGCAGAAGGAAAGAGTTGTGATCACGTACACCATTAAAATCAGACCCATATTAGCCACAGAGGAATCCTCAAACATTGCCAGTGGTGATGGGGCAATATGGATTTTAATACCGTGGAGTTGTCACAGGAGCTCCGTTCTCACAAAAGCAATTAGCTGAATATTGCTTATAATTTCAGAATATCATTACTGCAACGAAGAAACACTAATACTAAAGCCTCAGCTAAGGAGGCATAGTTATTGGCTATGGACAACCTAATCCCTATATCTAGATCTGTTTTAATGTACCTTAGTTACTTAAAAAAAAGGGACTGGCTATATGAGGCATCCGTCTATTTTGGTAGGGCTACAGGCCAAAATGTAGAATTATTCTTCATAATATCTTTCTTTTGAGGTAGTCAAAGAACATTGAATATTCAACACCTTCCTTCCTTACCTGACCTTCCTTAGACTGAGCAGGGCCAGCTGAACTGCCTATCTGTATTTTGTTGATAGTGTGTACAGGGACACTTGTGATTATTAGCATTGGTGATTTCAGGAAAAATTGAGGATCTCTGGTCAAATGAATGAAATTCTTAGGATAATGTGAATTCCACAGGTATCCACCTGTATGATCCTGGTTTAGCTTGTCAAGGCATCTCTTAGAAGGCCTACAGAATAGGTGGGATGACTCAGTACTGGAGTTTTTATTTTATGGGTTTGTTTGTTTTTTAAAAGGATTACTGCTCCACAGAAACAGAAATCTTACATGGGTAGCCATAGCGCTTATTTATCACAATTCAAGCATAGCCTTGATACGTTCCCTCCTCGCTACAGAAATCTCCAATTAGTCATTTTTATGCTGAAGCAGCCTCTTCAGTGCTTCCAATTACAGATTCACAACCACAAAAGCTTTTCATCTAAGTTTCAAAACATCAGTACTAAAAATGCAAGTGTTAAGATGGAAGAAATTGCTGTTATCCTCCACCCACCTTTCATAATCCAGTACATGAAACTCAAGATATTAAATTTTTATAAGAAAACCTTGTTCATCACTAGCACTGATTGAAATTACTACATCATCCTTTCTTGGTTTTGATGTTCTTCTGGGCTGTACTAGTTAAATGGCAGCATGTTAATGCTCACAGCCATTGCAAAATATCTCCTGGGTTCCCGAGGCCAGCCCATCTTGTCTACTTTTCTGTTTATGTATGGTAAGTGTATATATCGCATAACCTAGAAAGTGGGATTTGGCACAGAAATTCAGGTCATTCTATTCTATCACATTTGTAGCAAGTATTCTGTCAAGCAAAACCCCAGTATTTGTACGGTATTTGCTGGAATTATTCCTAAGGACACTCTGTGACAATGGATGTAATAACGGACTTGACAAAATTATCAAATGTTTAAGAGCTAGTTTTTAGATACATTAAAAATCATCAATTAAATCTCAGCTGTAGTTAAAGTGATAATAGGTTGGATTCAGACCCACTCATGCTTAGAGTAGGTCCCTGAAATCAGTTGAAGAACCAATCAGCTTCCCCAGAGAGCTTCTTAGCAATCAAGAGAAGGTTTTTAGGCTGCATTTGGGACTGCAGGAGAGGGGGGAAAGCTGATTCTGGTGCAAGCAGCGGGATCCAACAAAAATACAACATTGGATCCTGCCACAATCTTTTCCCCTGTAAAACTTGGTAAGTTAATATTCTACCATACTAAACACGTTACCGTGCCTTTTGGATGGGTAGACCTCCTTATTTCTTCAATTAGTTCTGTACCAAGAAAATTGCTGACAGCATTACTAAAACACAGAGCACTGTGCCCTAGACACACTAGCTCTTTTGGAAAATCAAGACCTAAATCCTACACATATTTAATATATTTTGAGAAACAAGTATCTGTAGTACTCTACACTGCCTTTAAAAACAGGCAAACATTAGCATAGTGATTTATAAACAGTGACTGAAGACGAAGAGGGGTTTTTTGTGTAGAGTCACCCAGGCTTTTAGCAGTGACAAATGTGTCATCAAAAGCAGGGCGATGAGGGAGAAGCAAAGGCAACATGGATGGCCTACTGAGAGAGCAAGAGGCAGGTGAAAGTTAGATGCTAGTACCCTCTGAAAGATCAGATTAGATCACTGTGCTGGTTAAATAAATATTTTCAAAACCATATTCTTCCTTATTCCCATAATTACATAATTAGTTTTGCACAATCTTAATTACAGATCAGTTCCTGAAATGCTCAGGTGAGCTGTACGTTTTAGAAACGGCTCATGACAAAAAGTTATCTGTTCCAGACAAGCGATGAGCCTTCAAAGCCACTGGGAGCGGTGAGTGAAAGAGCACACAAGCACTATCACATCCCTTGACAACATGCGAATTGTGCCGAGTGGTCCCACTGGGACTATTTACATGCTTAAAATTATGTAAAAATTTAAATGCTCCACTGGATCATAGCCTAAGGCAATACAGTGAATTTCTACAAGCCCTTTATTTCCAACTTGGTGCAATTAATCATAATAACAATAACAATAAAAATGTAGTTTACATCCAGGCATAAAAACACTACAAGTTCCACTGTGACCAATGAAACCTGACTGCATGGAGGTGTACTCAGGATGGTAGCCTTTGATGCTACTTTTTATAGGGGCAGTTTTTTTAATGACAAAGTCATTCTCCATTGTTGCACTATTAAATGTTGGTCTCACAAAGGAATTTAGGGTTCTATTTTTACAAATATGTTATTTTACAAGAGTAGTAAAAGTGAACACAGTACTTCTGTAGTAACTTAGCACTGATGATTTCAGATTCAGAGATTCAGAGAAGGGAAATTCAACTGTCTCAAGGCTGAAAGCTTATTCAAGCCAGCATCATTTTCTTCAGAGTCCAATGCTTTCAAAATGTTAATAACTAATAAAACATTTCATTCCTTCCACAGGTCTCAAGAATTTTAAAGTAGCGGGGCATTTAATCATTGTAACAAATTGATATATATTCCTGGCCTCCATGAACATACTAACATATTTTATAAACTCTACAATACACTGCTGACTATTACTTCTTCAAGTGGCAAGCAGACAAATTATTGGAGATGCAATTTTATCCCACTGATCATTTATAAAAACCAGCACTGAAGCACAGAGAGAAAGGTCTTTATTTTCATTTGGATGGGAAGGTTTCACAACAGCAGATGGAAAGCAGGAGTGTTAAGTAGGGCAGGGCTTTAAAAGACAGGAAGGACACCATTTGCCTGAGTGTAGATTGGAACCCAGTATCTGAACAGGTGGGTAGTATGAAATTACAGAATATCAGGAGAGAAATCTAAAGAAAACAGGCTTCAGAAATAACAGCACTAAATCAATGAGAAAGTCGTTATATCTTCCTACATATTCGTTTCCTTAAAAGTTTCATTAGCCCAAATTCACCTATGAAACAAGATGATTAAAAAAATCTCACTTCTAGTTTTTCATTTAGAAGCTAACATCTCACTATGACTTCTTCAGAGGATCTGGTTAATTAAAAAAAAATTTATATATATATTTACTTATTTTCCCTATTAATGAGACTTAGAGAGAAGAGGAAAGATTGGGAGTGTTCATAATGTAATTACTAGAGCAAGCAAATATTACTTTACTTTAACAACTCAGAAGACCCCAGTCCTGCTCTCACCGTGGATCTGGGTGAATAACAATTTTTCCTTTGCTCATCTTTCCTTTGTCACCTATGCCATTTCTGTTAAAAACGGTTGTCATTCTACCAGGTTTGAAAGACTTTGAAAAATAATATGATTCTTCCAGACTGTCTCATCATCCAGAGAATACAAAGGATCCTTATTAGAAATGGGCATGAATTAATTTGTGCCCCCTCATATGAAGTCCTATGCACAGCACTAGAGGTGCCATGCATTACCACCACCCACCACCCATGGCCTGCTGGCCCATTCACAATCTGTCATGCACTGCTGGGGTCCCTCCTTCTCTGGTGGTGATCCAGTCCAGGCATGAGCTTGGGCTGCCCTTCCTCAGCTCCTCCTGATCACTCAGATAAGGAGGTGGGACAGGGACTCTCCCTGTGCAGGCGTTGCATTGCTAGCTACCATAGGAGGTCAGGAACAGCAGCCCAAACTCCTGCATGGCATGGAGCACTGCCAGAGAAGGAGGACCCTGGTGGCGCATGACAGATTTTGAATGGATCACCTGGGGGGGGAGGGAACACGTGGCAGGATTTCATACAAAGGGACACAACTTAATTCATGCCCATCTCTAAACGTTATATAATTGGATTGAACCTAGCTTTTCAACTATTGCTTCTTTGAAGACAAATGTACATTTCACTGTCTTTCAGACCAATCTGAACAATCTTCCTCAACATTCTTAGACGTAAAGGGCTTCAGCAAAATGTAATGAGCACTGGAACACTTACACAATGGCAGATCAAAGTCACAATGTAAAATAGGAAATGAACCCATCTGATTCACACCCAAGCTTATACAAACATTTAGGGTGTAGAAGTCCAATGTACCTAAAGAGATATTATGTCTTCAATGTTTTGTAATACAGGAAAAAAATGTTGATCAGTCAGTTGGGATTTCTTTGTAATCAAAGACGTACGTTGGGACCATAGCTCAACAGAAGAGCACATGCTTTGCATGTATAAGATCCCAGGTCGAATCTCCAGCATCTCGAATTAAAAGAGTCTTTGGCAGCATGTGATTAGAAAGACCTCTGTCTGAGACTCTGGAGAGCGGCTGCTGGTCAGAATAGATGGTCCTTAGCAGGATGAACCGATGACCTGACTTACTGTGAGGCAGCTTCCTACATTAATATTGTTTTCTGAAGCTTTTTGTTCTAAGTAGAACTTAGTTGCTGGTGAGCTCCCAGAGGAAATCCTTGTTAAGTAAAACCATATTCAGCTAATTTATGATGAAGTAACTTTGACTGGAATAGATTTTCCACTTTGGGAACCTCTTGATTTTTTTTTATCAGAATATCTTCACCTATTTATTTTTGGGTGCTTTGCAAAGTCATGCTAGCATGGGAGCTGGAGACATATTGAAACAATTACATGGCCTTTACTATCCATTCAGGCTGCCTTCACCATATTGAGCTGGATGTGGTAATCTGCACTAGATTTTTCCTAAAGAGAGCTTGTGGCCTTTGGGTCAATCCAGAGGGTGCTCAACTCAAGAATAAGCAGCCATTGCAAGGGAAGCTGACTACATTACATGGCTATTTGCTTTCTCTACCACAAAACACCATCCGTTCCAAGATCCTGTCTCAGAAAGATGCCAAATCCAGGTGCTTCAAAGGGAAAGAGCACATCCTTCCTCCCCCATTCTTTTCCCACATTATAAATAAGCTGCATGTGATAAATGAAGGAGTGTATGGGGATCCATTTATTAATCCTCCTCCTCAGGCCTTCAAGAGAACCATTTAACAGAGTTCTAAGCAAGAATGTCTGCAAGATTTCATACGCTCGTCTCTATGCCATACAGACTTAGATGTGGTCTCTGTTTGTACCGCATGCGTTTTTCACCTGAGTAATTCAAAGCTGATTGATCCAATGGAGCCACAGATACTGGGGCTCTTGATACTGGGACAAAAGGGGCATGATCATGCGGCTGTATCTGTTCAGTCCCACTGGACTCTGATATTCTTGTCTTGCTGCCAATATCGGAAGTCGACCTGTATATAATATATATTGGAAATATCAGTCATTCCAACGTGAAGTATACATCGACTGCAAGCTGCAATTTAACCTGTTCTGGAGTAAATCAGCTGTGATTGCCAACAATTGTTAAGGAGCAAAACAGTTTTAGTCATATACCAGCAGTTTTTAAAGAAGGAATGGAGTGAAAAGGATGGACAGTAAACATCTCAATTTTTGTTTTCACGTTCTTGCATGATGAATCATTGCCTCAAACCTTATTTACTAAAACTAAATATAGCTCTTTTTCATATACTTCAGAGAGGGAAAACATTGTTTTTGGTATAGCATAAATAAATGTTAGAAAAGGATAGTAGTAAGAGAAGAACAAAAAGCACTATATGCTACCTATACTTGTACAAAACAAATCTAAATAAAACAATGTTTTACAACACAATGAGTTCAGTGAAGAATGCTTATTTTTTGATTCTGGTATGTTTTAACCCAATGTTGCTACTGTTATTTCTGACGGTGAAGGATAAGCCTGCCTGCCAGTGGCCTACAGTTCACTTGTATTTTTTCACTGTTATGACATCACTGGCAACCAATCAAGACAGCTCAGCTATTTTTGTATTCCTGTGCCAAAGCACAATAAAATGCAACATGCATACTATGCTATGGCTTTGCAGATGGCCCAGTGAGCTATTTTTATAAAATCATTGTTTTCAAGACCAAATGATTTCACAAGCCTAAGCCATGAGGCAGTCACTCAGAAATGCATGGCATGAAGTCTTTTAGAAGCCAGCCTGCTGCGAGAACACAGCATTTTAAAGATACTGTGCACAGTGATTATACAATGAACTAGGCAATAAATATTAAAACAATGTTAACACGAATCATACCTATTAGGTATTTAAAGTGCAGATTAGGAGCCTGATAGTTACCAAATTCTGTAAATGTTTCCAGAGTGCCAAAATCAATTTCTCGGGAAAGGCACAGAATGTGTACGGCCTATATTTGGTCATCTCAGAAAAGAAAAACAGGAAGATTTATGAATAATTCATTTCCTGTATAGAATCACTAATATTGTGAGGAAATTTACAGTTTAAAAAGTTCTAAAGCATATAATAATTGTGTGCCATCAAGTCAATTCTGATGTACGGCAACTCTTTTCGGGATTTTCTAGACATAGGGTCATCGGAAGTGGTTCACCGTTTCCTTCTTCTGGGGGTGTCCTGGGACTGTGCAGCTTGCCCAAGGCCACACAGGCTGGTTCTCCTGCAATGCATAGTGGGGAATCGAACACCCAACCCCTGGCTTTGCACCCCGATACCTAATTCATTGGGCTATTCAGCCATATATTTGGTACATTTATTAGATATGTGAGTAGTTTGAAGTGGCTGGATAGCTCAGTGAATTAGGAATCTGGGTGCAAAGCCAAGGGTTGGGAGTTCAATGCCAGCCTGTGTCGCCTTGGGCAAGCTGCACAATCCCAGGGCACCCTAGAAGAAGGAAGTGGTAAACCACTTCTGAACACTCTCTACTTAGAAAGCGCTGAAAACCCCAACTCCCATAAGTCAGAATTGACAACACACAATTATTATTAAGGTGAGCAGTATTTTTCTTCATTTCCATGACAGATTAAAAAAAAAACATCTAATACAGGTAACTGATACCTATTCCTTGCAATTTCCTAAATATTGCTCTGGCACAAGAATGTAGCTTTGTTGTGCATCTGAAATTTTACACAGAGATAAAACATTTTCAACTAAAATATAAAACAGCAGTACAGTACAATACCTCCTAAGAGAGGTGACAGCAACAGGTCCTGTTCTGGGAGGCACAGGAGGAGGTGGAGAACCCGTCAGCATCTCAGGGAGAGGAGAAAACCTATATGCCTGTTGAGAAGGGGAGAAGAATATGTCCTCAAAAATCTATCAACTTCTCATAAAAGCTATACTACACACTATATTTTTTCCAAATTTTGGTGAAGCACATGCAGGGAAAGCCATTTGACTGGTTTCCTTGCCACTGCATATTAGTTATCTCCAAGTTAACAGTTTTAGAGCCTCTTAAAACTGCAACACTGCAATGTTCTTTGCTGCCTGAATCCCCCCAAGGAGAAATCAGAATAGATTCTGCCCCACTGAAAATGAAATGTCTTGATGTCAGAACATCTGGAAGCCTCAAAAACACTGTAACAAGAAACAAAAATGCCTCTAAGCATCCATTTTCTATTTCAACATCCCTTTCCTCGCTTTTAGTGGGGAATCTTCTGTTCTTATTCCTCTAGGCAAAGGGGGTGGGAGCAAGGTATAACATAAAAATTCTAATTTTTAAAAAACATACACACCAAAGCAAATTAATCCCAAGGATTCTATTTTAAAAGCTATCAGATCAGTCACTCTGCCTCTGTCATGGACTAGATTTACAAAGGTTGGCAGCAAACGACATACAGCAAATTTACAGATTTTTCCCGTGTGTTTGCAAAAACACCTTCCTGCCACTTTTCTCCATCAGCTCATAGCTGAAAGCGTAAGAGATTAATCTTGAAGCCTTCGTATCAGGACGGTTATTGTCAATTTCACTTGGGAATACACTGACAGTTATTGAATCTGTTTAGCTGCCAGACTGACTATTGCTCTGATTTCCTTCAGTCTTGATTTGTCTAGAACAGTCAACGTATCAAAATAACCACAAGACACAGCATGATATTATGTACCCTAAATATATTGTGACACAGCAATATACCTTAACATATGGGAAGTGTTCAAGAATCAGAAAACTATGTGCTTTCAGCTTTTACACCCATCCTTTCTCTACCCCATGCTACTTGCATCTTACATTCTTATATATCAAAACATAGAGAAATAAATGTTAATGAATTTGTATTATTTACTACACTATGAGTAAGTAATACCTAAATGATGCCAGCATTTGCCTAGCATATTTGCAAATCTTAGGCAAACATCTTAGTCTATATTAACTAAGAAAAACAATGCCTTTAATATTTTGATATCCATATCTAACAGGTATTAATATCAATAGATATCAACTCAATACTCACTATCTATTATCTGGAATTTTTATAAGACCTTTCAGGACCTCCAAAATTTCCCATGTTTTTCCTCATTAAATCCTACTATTATGCTGTATATTAATATTGCAAGTGTGAGGCTAAGCCTGAAACTGCATAGCTTCCATAATGCCAAGCCCTCTAGTAAATTGAAGGTCGAGGAGAAATGTTGATCCACGTGCCCCCCAGCTCATGGTATTAGCTTTGATGTTTTACTAGCTTTTTATCAAAAATAATGCACGGATTGCAGTTCAAGGCACTAGGATCATACATTAAGATTCCTGAGAGAAGCAGCAGCATGAAACGTTGTGGGTGAGTCACAGCTAACATCACTATGTTCAACTGCACAGGGAACTTCACAGCTGACTCTTTCACTTGCCATTTCCATCACCTTTTAGGCAATGATCATAAAAAAATGCAAACATTTCCTCATACTATTGAAACTTTTTCTGAACATATTTTCATGCAATGTGGCATGTATACCACCTGCCACGGGTGGAAGTAACTGGAGAACAAACTTAGATGTTCCTTTTTCTCAAACAAAACATGTATTGACATAGTCGTGAAAAAATATCCTACTTTATTTAGAAGGCAAATTAAATTTCAGTGGTCAAAATCCTATTGCTTTGCGTAAACCAACTTGTAACATTTGGTCCATTGGTCCTGGTCCTCCTCTAGGGGCACTTGGCTAACACCAAGCAACAGGATTTCAGCCATTAAGCTTTTCCAGTAAGCAAGTTTAGAGTCAAGTTTAGTTGTCTGAGGGTGTAAACAGAAACTGCTGTATTGAATTGATTAAGACAGGTGGACAGGAAATGGGTTTGAATGTGCTGTTAGACCTTTCAGGAATCTGCACTAAATCAGTAAGGCTTTCTGATACAAGACTACTGAACAGTAGCATCAACAAAAGGACCCCCACCAGTATAGCCTCTTCCCTATCCTACAATACTAAAATGAAGGCAGCTTGTGATAGTCAACACTAAATTTTAGAGTAATAACACTGTGAGGTATATTCAGTGTAAGTATGGAAAAAAAAATTCCTAGTTTTCTTATTATTGTGTTCTGGATGAGATTTCAGTTGATGGATCTCAAAGTTGTAATAAAAATAACAAAGTAAATCCCACAAGCATTAAGTTTGCTCATCCTTAGATTATAATACCTTTGGGAAGAGTCAGTCACAGAACAAACTAACCTCTTCCTTTTCTAGTAGGAATATGGTTCAACAGTGTAAATGAATGAGATAGGAGAATATTGCTTAAATACAATCACTGTCCTTTTTGTTGTTACGTGCTGTCACGCCACATCCAGCTTATGAGGACTGTATGAACTAATGCTGTCCCAAAGGTTATTAGCAGTCCTGCTTATTTGAAAGTCAGTTAGATCAGGATGATGCTGTTCACATCTTGGAAAAAGCTCCCCATGGCACTTTGAAATTGCTAGTTGGTATTCATGTAATATTTCAATAAATGTTATTTATGGTTGGAACCCATACAGAGATAGTGCTGTCATCTGGTGACAACAGAAGGAGAAATGAGAAAATTCAAAATTAATCATTGTACTATCCCAGCCTAATTCACACACACTTCTGTTAGCAGCTATCTCTACAACTACCATTTAAAATGCATGCGTATGCCATCTAAAATGCATCCGGGTAGATGGAGCTTGTTAGCCTTGGAAGGCAGCCCATCTAGGAGAAGGAAAACTCCGATTTCAAACCTCCATTGCCTGTGGCTACATCCACTGATGGAAAAGGCTTCAGGAGTAAACCTCGAGGCAAAATCCGGAGCCAGAATCCTGGAGGCAGTTCGTGTCATTCTGGCAACTCCTGTGACATCGCTGGAAATAGTTGTATTGGCTCTTGCCTTTCCATTGGACTATTTCAGCGACATGGAGAGTGGGGATTTGCTGCTTGGGTAACAGTCTGTCCTCCATATTATTTTACCCAGGCCGCATGCTCTGGAGAGGACACTCCAGCTTCACATACAGCTTCGAAATAACATGGGAGGTAGCAGTGACCGGTTATAAGTCTTTGCTCGATTAGTGTAGAGCATGACGCCAGGGGCTACGTCCAATGGTGGGAGAGGTCATTGCACCTCACTAGGTAGTTACCGCCTGCCTTAAGCTGGGCAGCCCCCAGCCAGTAAGGTGCTAACTCGCCACAGTCTGTTAACCACACAGGTTGTGTGGGGTTTAGGGTGAAAGCCAACAAGCAGATTGATAACCCTGAACCATGCAATAATCGTAAGAAAACTTCTGCCCTAAAGCTGGGCACCTGAAATGTTCGGACAATGACCGCTGGTTTTTCTGAAGACCTGCAGAAAATAGATGATGCAGCTGTCATCAGCATGGAACTGAGTAGGCTGCAGATGGACATTGTTGCCCTGCAAGAGACAAGATTGTCAGACTCTAGATCTGTCAAAGAAAAAAAATTCTCATTCTTCTGGCAGGGAATACCATTGAATGAGACCAGGGAATATGGTGTTGGCTTTGTGGTCAGAAATACTCTGCTGAGATCTATTGTTCCACCTACTGTGGGGCATGAAAGAACCCTGTCTCTGCAGCTCCACTCATCAGCAGGACTGGTCACCCTCATTAGTGCATATGCACCCACACTGTCGTCTACAGCAGAAGTGAAAGACAAATTCTATGACGATCTGGCAGCTGCTATACCCGAGAAAGAGCTGCTGTTCATTCTTGGAGATTTTAACACTAGAGGTGTTGCTGATCACAATTCTTGTCCGCCGTGTCTAGGCCATTTTGGCATTGGGGAAGATGAATGAAAAAGGCCAATGCTGGAGTTTTGCTGTTATTATGGTCTCTGTGTCAGCAACACATTCTTTAAT